CGATGGGATAACTCATTTGTAATTCGTTATGTGGCTTTTCATTATTTTCGTAGCATGGGTTGGGTTGTTAGAGGTGGTGAGAAATTTGGCGTCGATTTCTGTAAGCGTGCTTAATTAATATTCAATTGAAACATTATCTCTGTCAAATAATATATTATTTGACACGTGTTACAAATTTAGTATTGTATGAGAAAGGGCCAATATTTCATCATGGAGAGTAAGTTCTTGTCAATAGCTACTATATTCGAGAATAATGAATAATTATCCCTTTTCTTTTTTTTTCAGATATGCTGTTGTTATTTTACCGGTCTATTCTAATCCGGATGACGATCCTTTAAAAAAATCAACTGACGATAGTGAAGCTCAATCTGCATCACTGTCCTTCACCCCATTTCGTCAAAATCTTGTCTCGTCTTGGCAATGGTTCATGAGTCTAAATCGTATTAGCGCACAAGCCAGAAAGGTTATTCATTTATACACTCTTGTTTAAATAAAGAATTCATTTTCATTGACTTTATATTTAATTAATAGACAATTGTTATATGCTACGTAATAATTCCGGACTTTAAGGAATATTCAGCCACAAAGTTGATGATTTCTCCGAGATGTATCAGATGTTATAAAGTGAAGGAAGTTACGTTTAAAAGATTCATCCCGGAACACAAATAAATATAATTTATTGATTAATTCAATTATTGCATTAAGAATTAATTAATTTCTACTCTTGAGGGTTGTTTCGTTTCACGGAATCTTCAAATAATATACCTTAGCGTAGTTAATGATATAGGTAACCAAAAGCTCTAAATTTAGCACCCTTTTCGACACCAAAGATCGAGGTGTGTTTGTCAGTTTATCGTATTCATTATACAAATGTGTGGCATCGTGCTATTATGTTTTTAATCAAAAAATTAAATTTACACGATATATTTCTCTTTAAATGACCAAAATGTTTATTTAATTAATTGCTATTGCACGTTGAAAATTACAGTCAAACCTCTATAGCGGCCCGGTTTAAACCGGATCCTCGGTGGAACAGATTTTCTATTAATAAAAAATCCTCGATATACCGTATATTGTGTGATGTTTTATACCGGTTCCGTGTAATTTGCAGATGTAAACGAAAAGTCATTTACTATATAGTTTGTATCGGCTGTCATCAAAATTCCATTCACATGGTCCACACGAGAATCAAGGATCACGGGAGGAGTCTCGTTTGTGATTATAAAATCTTTCGTACCTGGATTTTCAGTAAAAATTCTGTAGTCCGCTATATTGTATATAACGATGTGACTCTATACGGCTGAAAAGTGACAATCCAATGCAGCCGTTATAGAAAAGTTTGACTTTATATTCATATATTTATATATATATATATATTAATTTAATTCTTGCTATTACAACAGGTAAGAAAATTAAAAAAAACCATCATTTCATACTCTGCTAATTCACTTAGCCTATTTGTCATCAATTATATCTACACATAATCAAGAATGCTTCTATGAATTAGCGGCTTCTCACTCCGTAATGACAAAGCTTGCATTTGCAGTACTCTCACGATATACGACAGCATCTTTTTTGCGCTCTGCATGTCGCCTGTGAAATCACAAACATACTCTCCTGAGATTTGTACTTTGGGAGTTTCTAAACTGCCAGTCCAACGAATGAATCGCCAGGAGTAGCCGGTTGTTACGATGCCAAACATTGATAATGGTGGTTGATATGGCTGTGGCTGGTCGGTGTCTTTTAGGGCGAGTTTACGTTTGTTTATCAATTTCTTTTTAAAATTTGACAATCTAGATATTTAGTAAATTTTTCATGTGAGAAATCAAACAAAGAATACCCACCTCTATAGCAGTATGCATCTGCATAATATTTTGCGCAACCTCCTTATCAGTATCTTCATTCTTCGTTTTGACCACCAACACCATACTGCCGTCGATATCCACCATATAATCAACCGGCCCGTAACTACGACTTCCATCAAGATCAATCTTTACACTCAGCCGTGCCGAATTAAACGAATGCAACTGAACATTACGAACTGCGGTGGTCATAAGTATCGACACATACTCGTGCATAGTCGCCTGGTTAATATTGATTTCCTTGTTGAATGCGTGCAGTTTCTCGTCGAGTTTCTTTACGAAGAATTCTAGTTCTTCGCGGGTGAGTGGATTGTCCAGCGCGGGAAGATAGTCGAGGTTGAATGTTGGTGTGGTGTTGAGCGATATAAAGTCTTGGTGGAGTACGTCTTCGAATACTTCTTTAAGCTTCCAATCGCCATATGATTTTTTCCCTGTTTTTTCCCGATTCATTTTAATAATTGATTTTTGGTTTTAATGTGCGAGTTATGTTAAAATTTCACCTTTAATTTGAACTCTTAAATTAAGAACACATTCATCTAAATTATTTCGTGGCGTTCTCGACATTAAATTATTGAATTGAAATTCATTATCAATTTCCTCCGCCGAGTCATCTTGCACGACGAAATAAAAATCACTGGTGGTTAAATGATCAAACTTCTTTACCGCAGCATCACGTAACAGAGCCCAGGAATTACTGTAATGCGGCATGCGGTAGTCACCCGAGTTGTGTAAAAATTTGAAATTAACATTAACTATATACACAAAATAGAGACAGATTAAACATACCAATATAAAAAGATTACAGATTATAAATTTATATGCTAAAAGAACTTACTACTCGAACTCGATAATGGGTACCTTACGAAAAGCGGTGACTCAGCCGAAGTATTTAATGTTGCCAGACTAGTATCTGACAAAAGCGTTTGTGAAAGATCCTTAGAATTGTATATCTCAAGATCAACCGGCTCGACGTGATTAAGGACTTTGAATCTTTTAATCAGCAACTGTTTAAAGTCGTCCAAATCCGGGTTATGCGAAAAGAAATCATCAGAATTGATAACGAATTTCACGGCACTTGATTTTCCTTCGAGTAGGATCCATATCGTGATTAACGGGTTTTGAGCTATTGCCGACTGAGTTTTTGTAGTCAGCGTGTTTTCTGCGGTGTTCCGGGTCGTCGTCATACTTTTTCTTGTTGAGGGCACGAAAAAAAAATTAGGTTAATTATCCTTGTTCAACGCGCTCTGCAAATGTGTGAAGTCTCATTTCCTGACCATTTTGACACACGTTCACGTGATACGGCAAAAACTGCTAAATTTTTTGCGCGTCCTCTTATTAAAGAAAATGGGATTTTCATTTTGGGGCATAATTTTTCATTTAGAAAGCTATTTTGCATGTGATTTCATCGTTAATATTTAGAAAATTGGAATATAAAAAAATCGACCTAAATATACCAATCAAAATAACTATAAATTATTGTGGAGAATATTTAAATATAATTGATTAACTAATCTATTTTTTTACAATAAATATCACACCTTTTTGGCTATTTTGAATTTTTGATTTTATCTAGTCTTTTTTGATCTTCTGATTTTATGAACATAAGATTGTATTTGAAAAAAAATATAGAAGTGCCAAATTTAAATAATAATTATAAATATTGCATAAACCTAATGCTAGCAAGTCAATAATTGTTTTTATATTGAGCACCAATTTTTTAAAGAAAATGACAAATCCCTCTTATAAAACATAGATTTACTAAAAAGTGTCCAAGTTATACATTTTGTATAGATTAACTGTTTTCAATATAGAATAATTTTCATATTTGTTAATTAAAATCAGTCTATTAAATATTTTCGTATTTTGCTTGAACGATCTATATTAGATATATGCAATCAAAATTATTTTGATTGTTTTGTCACCTAAAAATTGAAAATTCTTTTGATACAATAATTGGATAATATTAGCAAATACGTATCTACCATAATTTAAAGCATGAGAAAAACAAGGCAAACATATACATGTAGTAAGAAAAATCAAGTAACTCAAAGTACACCGACAATTAAATACAGAGAAATTTAAGAAAAAAAAAAGATGTATTTTTTCATGGATCATAGTTTAAAGAATTACGAGCGTCCACACATGTAGCACTACTCGAACATTTGCTCGAGAAAAAATGGGACATCGAAGCGCGCATGGTGATCGTCATAAACCGCCACTCCTCAAGAAACTCCGATGTCACAAGGAGTTAATGATTTCACAAGAAAGTGTGAACGGTTCAAAGGTGGTGTAAACTGGTACAGGGTTACGTCAAAATGCCACAACTGACATATACGCCGTAACTAAATATTTGGATGTTAGACGTGATGTGGAATGTAATGCGGAACGTGACGGACGTAACTTTGGTTTCGAGAATAGCTTTGATTTAAATTAAAAAGTCTAATAAATAAAATTTGAGCGAACCAAAATATTTTTTTTAAAACAAGCAAAATTTAATGAATAATAAATTGAAAAAAGTTGCGCAAACATCTTTGATTGACAGATAATAATATCGATGGCATTTCTACACCATTAGAATTTAATTCATGTAATTGTGTTAATCAGATAATTAGTGTTGAAAAGTGTTACTATGGACTTCAACCCCGAGAACTTTGTTGTCACTTTTTTTAATATTGAATTAATAAATTGTTTTCTTTATTGCTATTCAAATTTGTTTATATTTTTTTCGAGAATTTACATATGTAATGTAATAAAATAAAATATATATCGATATGTATCAATTTTATGACCGACACATGTCAAATGTTACAGTATATCATTGTTATAGCAATACGTCGTTGATATGGCAATACATCAGTTGTTATGGCATACGTCTGTTATGTCTTTTCGACGTGACGATATTCTTGACATAGGAGACGTTACCATCATAAGTCAGTGATATAGCCCGAGAGATTCTTAAGCAAAGGGCAACTAGAGAAAAATATATAGTGAGAGAACCGAGTTATGTTTGTCTACAATTCACAATAAGTCACAGAATAATTTATACTGACTGGAGAAAGGTGAGGTCACAAAAAAAATGCATTTTTATCAGGAAGAAGTCGCCAATTTTTTATGAAATATTCGGTGTTCATGAGCATTTAGATCATGTGAAGTCGAAGCAGTGAAAAAAATCAGGATGGCATAATCGTTAGATAGTAAAATATTTAATATATAAATCGTGAGAAAAATTTTTTTTACTCACAAATCAAAGATGGTCTTGCATTTTAAAATGCCATCATTTTTTTTCATTAGCTCACGATGATATATACTTGTATACAGGTATCCGGGTAGACTTTTTGCGGGTAACACATGACCTTCCAACCAAATGCATCCATACAAAATCACTCGTGAACAATTTACGTAAATTAAAAGGTGCGCTTTAATTTTTTCTGTCTGGAGCCTTTTATTCGGTTGACCTCACCATCAAATGCGTGTTTAGATCTGGCGGTTTCGGCAATCGTAAAAAGAAAAAATCCGATATATGTACTTTCGATTCTCATAATAATGACTTTGATTTATTTCAATTGTCGGACTATGTATTGCTCATTCTTTTGAAAATTTTAATGTAACCTAAATGAACGAACATTCAACATCTTGCATAGTTTCTAGAAAATTGGGCTTTGTATTTGCGGAAGTTTGATTGTTCTCCTTAAATGTTGCTTTTCTCAGTATCTGTTAAAAGATTAATTCATTTTTTCAAGATTCGAATTTATTATTTTCCTAAAGACTTTTATGAAGGTCATTTATATTTATTTAGTTTCGACATTTGTGTCAATTCATACAAAGGTAAATCGAAAAAAAAGAAGAATATGTCTAACGGTCTGTAATTACTTTACAACCTTGATTATATAGTCAAGAACTTCCGTGTATGGTAACATATAGCATAATGCGTAATAGCTTCGAAATGATAGACTTGACTATATTACAAAAATTATTTATTTTGATCTATTATAATTAATTTTAATTGTTTACAGATATCGTTAATATAGTACCCTGAAATAGTAAACCCCATTTTTTGACAAGCAATGGTTTTATAACGATAAGTAATGGATAATTTCTTTACAAGTTTAATAACTAAATATCCCTGGCACTTTTTCAATTTTTTTGAATAAAACGCTATTACTAAAAAAATTCATGGCTGGTTCCAGTGCATACAATCGATCAATTTGTTCATGCGGGCAGGTTTCAGCCAAATTAAGACAATTCTATCGTTATAGACCAAACAATCATTTTATTTCATACCAATACTAACGCTAATTAAAAATCAAATAATTAATATTATCTATTATTAATTTAAAATATTCTTTCATTTGGCGCACTATTTGTTAAAATTAAAAAAGTGTGAAAAAGTAAAAACGAAACTTAAAAATGGAAAAATTAGAAATAAATATTTACCGATATGGAACACCCAATGCCTCAAATATTTCTTGTTCAGTTCTTTGAGCAACAAGGATGCCCTCATTATACTTTTCGTCTTTCGCATCACGAATAACATTGGTGTATAGACCGTGTTGGTTTAAGTGCATTCCCTAATGATAATACGTTAATTTGCGTAATAAATACCACATTTTTATCGATTTTTTTTACCTTTTTACGAGCCAATAATCGCATGCTGCGATTAAAAATATCGTTTCCGGTATACGCTAACAAAGCAGCTCCATATTCGTTAAAAGGGACAATGAAAATATCTATGAAATAATAATAATATTAATATTCACATAAAGTAATATAAGAATAAAATTTCATAAATAACTTAATACCAAAACGACGACATTTTCCATTTGGCGGCATTTGACAAATTCCTAAATATTTTTGACCAGAACTGCTGCGCCCCAAATCGTATTTTATAAAGGATTTTTCGTGTAGAATTTTTAACAATTGCGACAATATCCCTATAGATTTACAAATATATCAAATTACCCTCATATATTATAATAAACGATATAATAACATTACGTATTTTTGAAAAGAATTACCGTCGATTTTTTTGCCATCAGAATCATCTCTTGTTATTAGAATATCTACATCTCCACAGGTTGGTTGTCCACGTCTATAAGAACCACCTACAATACACTCTAATTTAGAGTCAATGCTATGTGCTGCATCTTCTACAAACTTGAAAATTTTCGCCACTTCGTATCTGTTCATACGTTCTTGCAAATCCTATTATTAAAAATTGGAATTTGGTGATATATCTTTGGAAATGAAATTTAAATTAATTGCTCACTTCAAAACAAAGAATTCCTGCTCTCTGTGCATTAGTCAATTTAACATGCTTTAACAATTCTTCGCGTGTTCTATATCCTTGAGCGTACCACTTAAGTGCTTGAGTAACTCCGACGCCTTTTAAATGATTAAATTAATCAAAAATGTCAATCGAAAAACAGGAGGTTGCCAAATGAAAAAGAGTTCACGTATTCAAATTTTACGTACCGTGAATTTTTGTAAACATCGTCAAGACAGGTTCAGCTTCTCCAAAATTATCTAACCTAAAAAGGATAGAAAAGATCATTTAACATGTTACATTCCTTTTTCCATTTAATCGTTTTTAAGAACGAAAACGGGTTTATTATTTATAAAAAGTATTGTAAAAATTTTTTATTTTATGAACTATATAAAAATCTCGATAATTTTGCCGCGCCATTCAATCATATTTACACGATAGCGTAAATCTAACCTTTTGAGATGACCTGTTTCAATAATTTCCGCAATCTGAAATACATGATAAAAATTAGCGCAATAGCATACACCGATTATCATAAAAAATATAAGACTCACCTTCTTTGCTGTACGATCTCCGATATTAGGGATTTCTTTAGCTTCCTCATAAGAAGTTATTGGTTTTTTTTGATTCTTCAAAGCAGATATAGCTTTGCGATAGGCCAAAATTCTCCATTGATCATTATTTGTTTTTTGATAATATTCCAATATCAAATTAAGCTAATTTTGTAAAAAGTTGTTAGACTATTTTCGGCATTCTTTCCATAATTATAATACTTTCACAGCAACAAACCTTGTCAATAATTAATTTATTCGGATTTTCATTAATTGCTCCATGACGATAATGGAAGAAAGAATTTTGAGGTCGATATCCATAAGATTTATTCTATTCCAAAATTTATACAAAATATAATACTCTTCGACATAATAGAAATTCCACGATTATATTAAAAAAATTAACAAATACCGTTGTTTTCAAACGGAAAATTTCTCCTTCTCCTGTTTTATTTATTGGCGAAACTGGTTTATTTCTTTGATCGTTATCACTATCAGATGTGGTGTTAGCAATATAATGCGATGTCGTTGATTCATCCCCAGTGGATTCCGTTGCATTTATGGATTTATGATGTCTAGTAGATGTGTTTGATTCCTCTTGATCATAATCGTCGTCTTCTTCATCCGAATAGATGCCCTATTATTACTTAAATTAGTGAAAAATTCACAAACTTCAATGATAGTTGATCTATTACCTCTTCAGTAAGATGCCTTGCTTCTGCAATGATTTCTTTTAGGGGATCTTGGGAAGTATTTCCGAAATCCGAACCGCTATTATAATTTGCGGGTATTTCATCGGTGCTATTATTATACAATCATCTGTTTAGTTGCAATAAATGAAATAATAACATGATTATTGAATCCGAACGAAAATTCCCATTAACTTGGTAGTAATAGTTGTCTCGTCTTTCTCATCGAGTTTTCTTTTAGAATTCGACGTGACTTGGATTGTGTCGATAGTAGCGTCGCGTGATCTTGTGACATTTAAATGGACAACATAATTATCGATCTCTAAAAGTTTATTATACTATTTACAGATGATTAATCCGATGACATATTTGACTAAAATAATACAAACAATCAAAGAAGTATTTAATCACCATGATTGAATCCGAGACCCAATTCGCATTGATGACTTTTATTCCATGCTTTAATTATAATTACCCGTGTAAAATCTCATTAACAAAATAATGGATTACAATTAGATAACAATAAAAAAACGATAGCAATACAAACCTCCAATAATTCTTCCACTTTATTTAGATTTAAAGCTTGAATCACTTTTTTTCCTTTTAATTCTGTAATGACATGCGTCACATCAAGAATAACAAATGCTTCTAATACCGATCCGCCCCTTTCCTTAATCCTCGATTTTAAAAATTCCAATCTCACTCTATCAATATTTTGTGGTATAATAAAAATCCTCAAATCTTTGAATATTCCATTAACCCATTTCGCAACTGATCCTTCTTTTGTCGTTCTATCACTCTCTAATTTCTTCTTTCTACCTCGTTTTTTCTTCGGTGGCTCGGAATGCGACTCTTCTTCACTCTCTAATTTCTTCTTTCTACCTCGTTTTTTCTTCGGTGGCTCGGAATTCGATTCTTCTTCACTCTCTACTTTTTTCTTTCTACCTCGCTTTTTCTTTGGGGGTTCAAAGTCGGACTCTTCTTCATCCTCCACTTTCTTCTTTCTACCTCGCTTTTTCTTTGGTGGCTCAGAATCCGATTCTTCTTCGAGTTTTTTACTATTAGTATGGTTATTCTTGGAGACTTTGTTTATTTGTGTATCGGATTTTTTTGATGTATTATTTTTTATTATGCTAGATTTGATATTTTTAGGTTCATGTTGCTCGTCGGTTTCTGCTTTTGTGGATTTCGAAATTTGAAATGAGTAAGCAGACAAAGGAGAATTCGGTGATTCTTTGGTGATATTGTTATCATTATAATTAGTTGTGGTGAGGGAAGAGGTGGTGGAAATGGTGACTATTTCCGTTTGTTCGTTTTTCGCATTATCTTTTATAGAATTAGTCGTCATTCTACACAGAGAAAAAACGCATGAACAACGGAGAATTAACTAATAAATAGTTTTTCATCAAAAAAAAAACGTTTTCATTTTTATTTTTTTTAAATACACAATATACATATCGGTATATCGATATCTGCAGGTTTCTTAAAATTGACATTGGTGACACGCTGTCTTGTCCAGGGGTTTTAATTATTCTCCACGAGCTCATTATTATTTCATGCATCGGAGATTTTTGTGTACTTATGTAATCCAAATATTGAACTGTGCGCAGTACGCTGTGCATGTTTATTTACTGCGGACTTGATCACCATCTCGAGATTCAAGTACTAATTAAAATCTTTGATATAACGGTGATAACTTTCTAATAAAATTTTCTTTGAAACGGATATTTTTATCAAAATAACAAATATTTGCAGGAATTTTTTATTATCCGACACGTCGTTATATCGAGGTTGACTGTATTGATATCAGATAATACTTTCTAGCACCTGTATTCAATTTTGTCGAAAATTCTGTTGTACCAATATTATTGATGTACAACGGATCATCTTTTCCCAAGACTTTGCAAAACAAAGAAAACTCTTATCTTTAACTCTCACTTTGGGAATAATTTTCTGCACGCGAAGCTTTTTAAAGAGATAAAATTCACAGAGATTTTATGTGTATTCGGTTCTTCAGAAATTTTAAATTGAGGTTCTATAGGTAAAATTCATTTTCCTTTTTACAACAGCATTTAGAATGTTTCAAAGTAGAATAATTTTTTTAATAGAAATTATAAACAAAAATCTTGTATCTTGATTGTGTAATGATTTCTATAATACATCAAATATCATATCGATATCGATGTAGTTATTTTTAGTAACACATGTATACATACCAAAAATGATTTAGTGATTATTAATATCGAATTAGGGCGTGCTGCAACAAAACCAGACAAAGTGAACAACGACATCACTTCAAACATCAAGCTCTCAACATTTATGTTTGCCATTGCTTTGCTCGTAACTTTTTAATGATTACCGTATGTGACCGAAAATAGGAAACCCAAGTTTTTTAAAAAATGACAAGTACCGAAAAAAAAAAGAAAATTTTGAGATTCTATTATATTTGCCGGATTGATCATATTAACTTCGGGACGCAATTTAATTGATCATTTTGATCATGACCAAAAATAATGGATGATCACCATTCCAATTCATAAGTCTCGAAAACAAGAAACCTCACCATTTCGAACTGCCGGACGATCACTAAAATAGGTTTCTTATTTTCGTTCATCTACAGTAGATATCCACCGTATAAATAACTGAGCCAAAGGTAAAATCTAATGCTCTATGCTTTCATTTTTCTTTACTTTCTCTTTCTTATTTGATCTCTTTGTCTTATTTATATTCTCAAGCAGCTTTAGCAAAGTCTTATTTTTTAAATTGATTGGAAGAATAAAGAAGTAATAAACATTAGCACTATTAACTACCCTATTCATTTTGCAGGCTGGCTGAACTACCGTTCTCTCAGGAAACAAATCATTCTTTGATTTGTCAATCATCATTAAACAGATCAAAGTCTGAATGCTCTTTGACAATCCAATCAGCTCGTATAATATATTGTTTCTTTCTATTTGAAAAAGTAATAGGTGAAGTGGTTGCTCTGAATATTTGGTGGAAAAAGTAAAAGTTTTCCGGTTTTTCCATCCTTTGCAAGAACAGTTAATAATATTTTGACTGGATACTATCAAATTTAAATTTTCACGATTATAATTAGCTGGCAAAATCAAATTATACTTTTAGCAAATATAGTATTTGCTTGTAAAAGTTAATCTTCTTATGAGCAATTTTCTTGATTCTTGATTTAATTATTTCGAGATCTTTTTGCATTTCTGCTCAATTTCTTTGATATTACTGCTTTTAATAGCTAATTTATAATATTATTATCATTTTACATAAATATCTCAAAATTTCTTAAAGAATTTGACAAACGAAGACTTCTTGCCAGTTAACTCTTGAAAGTATAAATAATAATTAAAACTTCATATAATAATAAATACTTATTCCAGTTAGAATAATCTTTAAAGAATATCTTTCTCTTGTAAACTTTTTGAGTAATACAAAACAATTGATGTAATTATTTTTATTTAATAACAAGTTTGAACAGATAATTTAGCTTTTGTAAATGGATAAATAATATGTTAAAGATATTCTTGTCATTCAAATTTTATAAGTTTAAATTTCTGAAAGAGATTCTTTGAATTTTGATTATATTAAAATTAGTATTAATAAAAAAATTTAAATTTTTAAATGACTTATAATATTAAAATATTAAAAATCTTTATATTATTATAATACTAAACTTTATTTAATTTAGTAATACTAGATATTTTTATTATATTTATAATAAAATTAATTATAATTTTTTGATAAAGCATTTATTAATTTGAAATTATTATTATATTTAAACTTAATATGATTCAGAATTATAAATAATTTTTAAATACTTCTCTTTATTTAATTTTTTAATTTTATTAAAAATAGAATTAAGCATATTATTAAAGATTCTTTTTAAGAAATTTATTTTTATTTAATATATAATTAATTTATTTATATTAAATATCAAATAATATATTATATAAATAAAAAATTTCAGACTGAAAATTAATATAAAAATTATAATTTTTACTTACTTTTTTATATATTAATTAGTCAATAATTCTAAATTATTATTAAATAAAGAATTAGAAATTTTTAATATATATAAAAAATAGAATTATAAGTCAAGTAAATTAATAAAAAATATAAATTTTAATATCTAGCTATATATTTATAAAATTAAATATTATATAAAAATAAAAATAAAAAAATTTTTAAAATAAGAAATTCTCTAGAAATAACAAGTATTAAAATTAAAAACTTTGTTAAACTAATTAAATTCATATATTAACTTTAAATTATAAAATCTTATTAGTTAATATTAATATTAATATCTTTTAATTAATAAATATTATTATTAATGAATTTACTTATCAAATATATAATAGAATTTCTAATTATTGAATAATTATAATTAAAATTTTGTTTTTATACAAGAATTTGATTGTATTTTGAATGAATTTCAATTAAAATATAAATAGAATTACGGTCATATACAAAGTGAAAAAAATTGAAACTAATCTGTAACGTAACTCTTTTCAAATAATCTCAAATTTGGAAACTTATTTAGCATTGTTGAGTTTAGAAAAAGTTTAACCAAAGAGATTAATTAATGACAATTAGTTTAATTATCAAGTGGCTGAAACTAAACTTTTTTCACAATATTTAAACAAACATCTATAATTAAATCTTGATATAATGACATTAAAATCTGGCGCAGCAATAAATATGCAGTATGCAGAGAAATCTTTCTAAACGTACCCTCTATAAATGCACGCACTAGCACGGCTTGAGCCCAACTTATACGCTGTATATATTTTGCTCTTTCTAAATGCACACCTCCCTAAATGCACACACAGTCTTTTTGTACTATGGTCCTAAGGGGAGTGCATTTAACATACCGGTATTCCTGATATAATGTGTCATTTTAATAAATCCTATGAACCACAGTTGTTTGATTGTTTAAATTATTTTTATTGATTATTTACATGTATGTAGAATTAATCCAAGAGCTAAATTGAGGAAAACATAACCATATAATCATAAAACCAAATAATTATTAGTGACGAACTATGAAAGATTTCCGTCATCGCAAAGAGTATTAACCGAGTAAAAGCGTTGGATATTCAACCGGCAAATATGTGTAAGCGTTTATCTTCGAGCATGTGTGTAAGCGATTAGTCCCCATTCTCTCTCATCAAATGGAAGTGCGTGAATATAAAGACTCGAGATTAGAAGAGTAAGAATGAGTATAAAGAGAGAGAGCGCTGTTTTTGGAGACATTTTTATTAAATTATTGAACGACTTATTGGTTTACGTATAGTGTTGCTTTTCTTAACGTATGTTTTTATTATTAGAATACTGATAATTTTTAAAGAAAAGAAAGTGCTATGAACTCAAGCTCTATATATTTCAGAAAATATCTGTAGCGTGTTTTTAAATTTGCCAAGCCATCTGACGTTCTACAAATATTGCAAATCCCTTTCTATGTATAGACAAAATGAACAAACTATAAGAATATATTAAATAGATATTACAATATAATGAAGAACAACTAACTGTATATATCTAAAAATAGTAATTAACGCTCTTTAAATATTTGTCGATTTTACTATCATTAATACTTCATTGCTATTATATGACATATCAAGTTCTTGCAAATTTTGCATTTGCCGAAAACTGGACACACTAGTCCAACTATGTCTTAAAATTTAAATTTGTATCTTTTGGAAAAAAATGACAATAAAAAAAAATCTTGCAAAATTCCAGAAGTAAATGATCTTTCCAAAGCCCTCTCTTAATTCGATTTCGAACATTATAAAAAAATTAAATATATAAAATTTTTATGAATATACTTTTGGATCTTTCATATTATTTTTTATATTAGTTAATTTTATTAATTCCAATATTGTAAAGTTTATTTTGATAAATTCATTTTGACGGAATAATAAGTAGAATCATCAAATCTTTTCAGTCTTGATCTTATTAAAAATATTAATAAAACAAAAATTTATAATAACTATCGAATTGTTTTTTGTCATTGTGTTGCTAAAAATAGAAAAGGGATTTGCAATATTTGGTTTTGAAATCACAAAACTAAATAAGAAACAAGACATTTTATTTTACTAAAAATTATAGAGTTCCAGTATCATGATACTTTCTTTCAGAGTGTACAGACAGCGTGCAGACACTTTTTTAGGCATAAATACCTCATCATTTGTCCTAAATAGATAAATCACACGATGCTATTTTTAAGCAAAATTTTTTTATCGAGATACCAAACCCTGTTTGTCGACTAATGATTCAGTGAATGCTAATTTTCGAGTGTGATATTCATCTAATTAAGACACATCAAATGATGTTACTTTT